CTTATTCTAAGTACTAGATGTGTTAGTTTATGAGGGCTATACAAATAGTTGTAGATATCATTGTATTTTTTTACATGTGTAATATTGTCTTGAATAATGGGGTGTATCTTGCACCACAGGGTGGACTTGATTTTATTCCGATCTCAGAATAATGGGTGTAATCCCCAACCCAAGCATCCTTTGATATCTACTATTTTTTGTATAGCCTTCATCAGTTGTAGAAATTAACTTATGTGCATTTGACATCTACTATTTTTTGTATAGCCTTCATCAGTTTTTGAATATAACGTATGTGCATTTGATATCTACTATTTTTATGTATAGCCTCCATGTGCATTTGATATCTACTGTTTGTATAGCTCTTACCATTTCGACTTATGTGCATTTAATATCTTCTATTGCTTATATTGCTTGTATAGCTCTCATCAATTGTAGTATTTAAATTATATACTTTTAATATAATTTAACGTGCATTTTAAACGACTTAATATGGAGGTATTGAATTAAGTTTTAAATTTAGTAGTTTTATCCGCACAACGTTTGCTTTTTAAAATTATTGTTTTAATTATACACAATTATTACAGTTTGATATATTCTATTAAAAAAATAAATTTACCCTATAAACAATTTCTTAAAACAAATTTAAGGGCCTGCGCACAACAAAGATTTCCATCGACTACATGCCCGTTTAAACCATCTTCAAAAAAATAATAATCAGAATCAGATAAACCTAAACACGGGTATATTTTATTTTTGACCTAATGGAAAATTGACGACCAATAATGTTGGGCGTGTGCAGGCCTTTAGAATTACAGAAAGAATAAAACTTGACAAATTTATTTCTGCGGCTACATTAAAAAAAAACCCATAGAGATATTATATTTCGCTTGCTTGATCACCCAAGAGAGGCAGCGACGACTTTCTATTTTCCAACCGTCTTAATAACAAAGGCGATCCATAGAGGTTTAGTTTTTTTTCACTGCCTGATTTTCCAAATATACTGGGGATTTCAAGGTTGCGTAACCTAGTTAAACTGGAAACCGAAGCAGCTTTTAATTTTTGTGAAACTTTTTCGGGGATCGTCTTATTGGCACATACTGATTCAGTCTTTAAGCACACAGCACTCTTGGTCAGTTCACGTTTTGTATGGGGCGTTAACGACATTTGCGATAAAATATTATTGTCTTCCTCTGTCATTATGTCAGATGCCTCGAGCTCTGTATCAAGTTCATTAAAGTCAAAAACAACATCTGGAGCTTCACTAGATGGTACCTCTTGAATGGATTGGTCCTCGTCACTATCTGATAAATGAACATTACTGTCACTATAAATAGTATTGAGAGGAGAGCTCGGTAGCACCGTTTTCATCTCAAATCCATTACTATATTCTTCATCATGAAGGTCCCGCTTATAATTTCCATTTGTAAATCGCGGTGAACCATTCGTATTCCGACCCATAGTCGGTAAACCATGGGTGAAGTTCTTCGCTTCACGAACGCTTACAATCTTCCCTGCTTTCATGATAACTACGGAACCATCCCTTCGGATGACTGAGCTCCCTTTTGTAGTTTTTGGTAAAGTTCGCATTAACTCGGTTAAACTTTTCCCACGTTTGAAGTTCATTTTTGGTCCATACCCGCAGTCTGCAGATTTTATGCTACTCGTGGAAACTTTTCTATTGGTGTTGGTGCAGTCCGGTATGGATTCGGATCGCTTGACTGTAAAGAATGAAGACAGACGTCGTAATGGACTGTGGTTTTCACCCTGTATTCCAATTGTTTCTGAAAAATAGAGAAATTATACAATAAGTATTTAATTGTATATATTCCCTGTGTGTCTGACTGTAATGCCCAGGCCTGGATTAACCATTATGGAAAGCCAGTCACCACAGACTTTTTACCAGTGACAGATTAACCATTAACCAGTGACGTATTAACCAAATGTTGACTGAACGAGAACCCACAAAATGCGGCCCTACAATGAATAACAAAAACCAAACCCAAACACCCATATACATATACAACAAAAATATTATCAATAATAAATAATTTATTACTAATTGGTATTGGAACTGGTTACATTTGGAAAGATACCAAATATTTAAAATGTGTATAACATTCGGCAGCCACTCAAGAGAATTTTCGTAACGGGGGTGTCCTCCTAATAAAAATCACAATGTTTGTTGGTGCTAATATTAAGTATAATTTTAAACATGGGTGCAAGTAAATTTGGCCGTTGCTGAAACTCTCTAATAGAACGAAAATTCTTTGACTCCAATCTCCAATAAGGGAGCACCATACTCTTTTGAGGGTTAAAGATACATTATGCAAGATTTAGATAAAGAGCTAGCCATTCTTGCTCGAAAATAGATAATGTAAAATGAATAATTTGAAAATTTCATTCAAATTACTCTATTGCAAGTGAAGATATTAGCCTTTGAAGGTTTGACAAGATGTGTGCAATAAATACAGCCGCCGTACTGGTTGTTCGAAGCTAAGTCTCGCTCCTCCATTTTTAGCTTAAATCAATATATGGCTGAAATGTTCTAATCTATTAATATCGGAGAAATCTGATGCTATCAAGAGTTTATTATGGCCTGGATAAGTTAATTAATGTCTAATTAATAATTAAGAAAACATTTCAGGCCTAAGGAAAGACCTGCAATAGGCAGATTTAGTGCTTGCATAATGTATGTTTAACATAAAGCTATAAATCTGACCGTGGTGAAACCTTTCAATTATTTCAAAATAGATATTTCCCCAGATCTACACATATCAAGTATTAAAATTTCTCCTTGATCAGTCATACCCTCCGTTGATGTCCTGGATTGAGAATCTTGTTCTTTTTTCATTTGCAAAGTAACGAAAATGCAACAAAAACAGTACACAAGGCATGTCGGTTTTCTGTGAAAACAGGTTTCCAGTCATTTAGATATTGGAGTAGCATCTAATCTGGAGAATTTTGATATCAGTTCATTTTCAGTAGATTATGAACGAATCTGAGTCTTGGGGGAAGAAATACCTTTTACCCTCACTAAGTAACTAACAAGGACACACAATGTAGATTTAGGCTGGTTGTGCCACTGGCTTTCATTGGGACCAGTGTTTGAAGGAATGTTTTAAAAGGAGGGACCCCAAACCGTTTCACATATAGGTATTGTGAAAGCCTTTTTATACCTCTGTATTAGATGACTGACCTTTATAAGTTCAAGTATGCCTTCTACAGGTGATGTCATGTCACCCGCATCCATCATTGGCTATATGGCGCATGCAGAATGGTGCCTTTTTGTTCATTTTATAAACCCATTTACACTAAATAGGAGATATACTTTAAACACTTTTATTTATTTTTCTAATACTTCAAAAACATGTTTTAGAATTTAATTTGAAGGTGGAAAAAAGTTAATATCATGAGCTCATTAAGCCACACTGATGTCATCCCTCTCAGTTATTGTAGCGACCTAGCGAATATTCCCTGCTGATCAGAAATGAAATGAAATGAAATGGAGTTTAACGTCCTACTGTTCTGCTCCTAACCTGGGCTAATGAAGACAGGCATACGCCATACAGTGTGCTATGAGGGAAATTTTGCCCGGACAGCGGCACTACGGCCTACTCTTATATCGAATTCCAACTGCCAAGGGATTTTTTACGTGCACGCCAATGTGTACACGGGACCTCGGTTTTCCGTCCCATCCGAACGACTAGACAGCTTTCCTTGTCAGACCCTCCCTCCTACATCACTGACAAGGTTGAACCACACCTGAAAATCTGGGTGGACTTTCTCGGCCAATGCAGGGATCGAACACCCGACCTCCAGGCTAGCGAGCTAGCGTCTTACCCACTTAGCCACGTGATCCCCCTGCTGATCAGTGTGGGTGCACCAATAAATTGGAGAATAAAGAATACTGTTGTCGGCTGAAGTAAGATGTCCTCTTTACTTCTGGTCAAATGAGACTTCACAATTCTGTTATCCCGAATCTGGGAACTTGCACCGATTCTAAAATTGACAGGGAAGACAATAAAGACAAGAATGGTGTCTAATGTCATGATATGTAGGTTTTTTGAACAATTCAAATATTCCACCCATTGACCATATTATTTGTATAGTGGTGTATTTTAAGAGCTGTCACAGTGTGCCCACCTCCGCAACAAATTCTGCACTTAGCCATGGTATCCATGACAACATGTACAAGAAGAGATTTGTTGGACATTTTAAAAGTATTAGATTGAATGACATACACAATTAGATATATCTTCATGCATATTCAGATTCAATTTTATTATTATTTTAGAAAATGTCTCTTAAATTCCCATGGCATTTGCTTGTCTATATTAGCCCGGTTCATGCAGAAACTCAAGAGGTTAAACCCCATTTCATGTCATTCATTCATTCTTAATTTCCCTGATGCAATCTCATAGATTGATAAAAACACAAACTGATAGATGAGGTTCATCAACATATAAACCATGTTGACTTGGGATTTCATTTTTGAATTCTATTTTGTCAGCATGACCAGGATTGTTGTTCGATGTAGACTCCGGCTAGATGGTTAATGTTTTCCCCATGAAGTATTGCAAAATGTGGGTAAAATCTAAAAAGTGCGACACAAAGGGGGGGGGGGTATCATAGATACATTGGTCTTTTAAATACACAAATGTCAACCCAACATTGTGGTTTCACATCCTATTTTTTTGCACCAACTGGGCTAATGAAGACAGATTTTTTTTTACGTACATGGCAAAGAGAATAAGGGTGAACATGACTTTTCAATACCATTCGAACAACCAGATGCTTTTTTCTGCACCACTACACTTTCTACTACTACTACTACTACCTGGTGCTTTAACGTCTGCTTCCACGGAAGTGATATCGCACTTTCTCAGTCAACAACATTGATCAAGCGTAGTTCCTGCTGGTTAGTGAGCCAGTGACTTACTCACAGAACCACTGTGGTCACCAAGCCCCAACTTCTTTTCAAAGTTAAATAGACGTTCTCAAATGAAGTATTTTAAAACTACAATTATTTATTGTCAACATATTACAACAATATATCTATATATATTATATATGTATAATCAAATAATGAGACATTACGCAAATATTGATAAACACATTACATATATTATTATATTACAATACCATAATATACTGCATCACAACACTTACCAGTATATAGTTTACCAACAATTGGGAGACTAATGGGAGATAACTCTAGAATTAGACATCTTGAAAATAACTTTCTATCAAGAGAGACAAGAACACATTTACACAGAATTAAAGCTTACTCAAAAAAGCAAGTTGATTTTCTCCCAAATTTAAAACAATTCAGAAGATTAATGGGTGACAACTCTGGAATATAGATAAACTATTGTATGTTTTTCTTTATATTATGTTATTTTAATACATTTATCTATTATATGGTTTATTCGGGAAAGTTCACAATTAATTAAGTGATGGAACGTCAAAATTAAAGCAATAATATACATCTTACAAAAGAAAGCTAGTAAATTAAATGATTGAATAAAAGTTATTTGGTTGAGCAAAATGAATGTACTATATTGAGCATTTAAAGGGATACTGTCCTGTATATTATAAATAATCAAAAGGTATTGTTAGAAAAATGCTTGCCAATGGAATGGAAGGGAAATCCCAACCAATAGATGATGGGAGTGAGTAAGACGTTTGCTCACCAGTCAGGAGGTCTGGGTTCGATCCCAGAGTTGGCTTGTACACAAGTCTTAAATGAAATTTACTGTATAAATTATAAATATCCCTTTCTGAACTGTATAACTCTTGATTAGTTAAAATATCATCACAGAATGATGCTTCCCTTTAGTGAAATAAAAACAATTTAAAAATATCAGTGCCTTTGTCTAAAAATGTCCCCACATCAAATACAATTTTAAAAAAAAAATTAGTAAAAAATTTTCTAGAATCCTTTCACATCAAGTCAAAGCTGAAGAACATAAAAATAAATTTTAATGTGGATTTCATGTCAAAATAGGAATTAACCCCTTCCACAAGCGGTTTAATGGTCGAGGGCGAGAGTTGTTCCCGAGTTGTTGTTTCAATATATTAAGCAATGTCTTTAAGCTTGAGATCATTAAACAACTTAAAGTACAGACATTCGCATGTGCTTTGCAATGAAATACGTTACGTGGGTCCGAAATTTCACCTAGTATATATAATGTATGCTTGGCACATTGCCCAAAGGATGACCTTACATATGTATATTAAACCTGAATATTGACCTCTGCATTTTCAAATAATATCATTCATATAAATAATGTATGCTTGGCACATTGCCCAAAGGATGTGGTAACACATCTGTAAATAACCCATATACCACTTCATTTTCAAATAATATCATTCATAAAAAATTTTCTTTTTAAAAAACAAATTTTTTTTTTTTGAAAGACTTAAATAAAATACTGTTCAGGTATATATTGTAGAACACATACAGGCATACAATTTTAATCTGATATTTTTTATTTATTTCATGAGCATGTAGATAACATAGATTAATGTAGATGTAAGATATATGCATGTCCTACACCCTGTGTAACCTGAATCAATACTTCTACACTGAAGCATGAGATTTAAAAATGTTTTGAAAGAAAATTTTTTATATGAAACTTTTTGGGGTTTATTATTTAAAGAGCATAATCATATAAAACAGTATGTAGACTATTGTAGATACATGCATATATTCTATACGCCTGGTAATGTAAATGAATACCTGTACATTGAAGCATGAGGGTTATGATTTTTCAAAAGAAAACTTTTTATGTGTAGAGTTTGTGTTTTATATTTCATGTATCATTTTACAGGCTGTTGTACAAGATAGGTGAATATTACTAGGTAAGACAAGATGGATACTAGCGTATTCATTTTAATCAGTCCTATTCACAGGTTAATCAAACTGAGTTTCACAAAAATCTCTACTGTTGTCGCTATTTACAGTGGTGGATCCAGGTCCCCACCCCCACCCCCCTGCAAAATACCAGTATGAAATATTCACTAATTATTCTGTTTTCATTTAACATGTAAATGTTTTATCTTTTTTTTTTTTGTTCGGGGTGATTATAGCTCATATAAATGCTACATTCAGGTTCATATGTGTGCCAAAAACAGCCACTGAAACCCCAATTTTTCTAAATTTCCTAGAGGAGGAAAACCCCCACCCCCTTCCCCTTACAAAGTATCCTGTATCTGCCAATTGCCCTTAGTTTAAGCCCATGATCATACACCATTATCAAAATCAGACTTTGATAAGGTCAAAAAGCTGAAATTCTTGTAAACCAAAATGGTTGAAATAGTGCTAAATATAAAAGTTAAAAATCTGGTTAGTGTTTAAGACTGTATTTCACACATGGGCTTGAAACAACAAGGGTTTTAAAGCAGCTGTCCCAGATATATTTTAGTTAATTTGGGGAGAAAAATTCTTATAAACCTTTAGCTGTATTTGAAGATCTATGATACTGTTTCAAAGAAATGCAAATTTTCAGAATCCATGTGGTGTTGGTGCCATAATTCCACAAATTTTCCATATTGTATGTGCCTGGATAACCATCGCTATATACATAATGAAATTAGCATGATTGTTGATTTTTAATTTTTAAACAGGTAATTTTAAATAAGCTATATCATCACATTTTGACATTGTGGAATACAACTTTATTTACAGTGTCCCGTGAAATCTGATGAGACTCCACCTTGAAAGATAAGTTTCCTTGAGTATATAAGGTCATACCAGCAGATATAAAATGGCGGCCACATTAAAATTTATATAATATTGTTAAAAAAGGTTTAAACAAAATCACATTTCATATTCATTATGTCTCGTAATAGGTGCCCTTTCATTGTGCCTCAGTATATTATTGAACACCGCAAGTATGTATAGCGTAGGTAATCCCAATCTGATTACAGATCCTATTTCGTTGTTTTTTTTTATAGTTGTTATAGTACCGGCGTTCTGGTTGAAGTGAGGGATTAACCAATGAAACGGTATGTTACGGCGAGTTCTTGGCGTTTGATGCACGGAACTGTGGGTAAACGACTAGAAACGTCAACGCTGATTGATTAATCAATGTCTGACGTCATAGGGTCAAAAGCCGCTCGTACGACCCGACGCGACCTTTCAGTACAACCAGTTAGATCTTCATGTATATGTGTAGGCCATCGAAAGTATAAAAAATGAAACGAAATATAGATCTGTATTTTAGTCAGATTGAGCTAATCCTTATAATAGCTTCTTTACAAATAAATGGAACTTGTGTTTGACAAATAAACGGAACTGGTTTTTGAAGTGGGTTTGACAAAATAAATAGAAGACTCATTAAAGTGGTTTTGTTTCTTTAAGAACAGAAATAGAATGGAAAAAAATACTTGCATCATGTACCTTTCAAACAACAAAGAAAATTCAAAGAACTACCGTTTGTTGAAACAATAACTCCTTATAGAATTTGATACTGCTACCAAGATTTCCTAAATGTCAGCCGATTTCCTAAATTTTAAAAAACTGTTTTTGGCTGATATTTAACAGAAGGTTTGCAGTTTTGTTTTCACTCAGCAGATATACCATATGTTTTAAAACTACAAATTCTCGATTTCGTACATGAGACCCAACAGATAATTCCATGCTTGAGAAATTAACATACCATCTACTATCTATTCTTAATGTTTCAATATTAAGTTTTTAACCACGTAATTGTATTTCTACCAACTTTCTTCTCTTGAAGTATTTGCTAAAACAAGTCTCCATCAATCTGTTTGATCTTAAATTTGGACATTTTAACGGCTATCACAGGTGTATTCAAAGAAAAAAAACAACTAATTTTTACAATGTTACCTTCATACAGTAACTTTTTCTGTTTCAAGCCATGCTTATATCACAGTTATGACACTACAGAAACCATTAAAAATTGATAAAAATGATCTGGTTGGTACGGATTGTAATCATGCTAATATCAACAGCGGCTTAATAGACCAGTATTGCCGGCCAGATCTATATGATGTTCAAAATGGCGACATCCATGTATTATGGGGTTTAATTTCCTGTTGTTCTGCTCTGAAGACAGGCATATGCCATGCAGATGGCTATGAGGGAAATTTTGCCCAGACAGCGGTGCTATGGCCTACTTTTATTTCGAATTCCAACTGTCAAGGTTTTTTTTACATGCACGGCAATGTGTACATGTGACTTTGGTTTTTCTTCCCATACAAACAACTATACGTTGTTGTCTCTTGCCAGGCCCTCTGTTCTACATCACTGATATGGGGTAACCACACCAGAAACTCCTGATGAACTTTCTCCCCCAACACAGGACCTCATGGTTAGCGAGCCAGCATCCTACTCATTGAGACTTGTAAACAGTTGTGCCTGCTAGATGGGCCTGTGCTAAAACTTGCCAAACACAGATGAAGTTACATCACCATAGAACATGGATAACTCACTAAAAACAAGTCAAGCCTACAAATAAGCTATCTATCACAGACAATGTCCGGCACAAATCCAACCTTGTCAGTCATTTTTTCTCTGGTGCCTCACTGCCTGCCATATTGTCCAGCCTGGATAAGTCCTGGCCGTGGTTTCACAAAGCATTATCAAATTTAAGTTCAGAATTTACTCAAAATTTTAACTAAAATATAGCCCTTTATATGAGATATTTCTCATAAATGGTGATCGAACATTGAGTAATTTCTTAACTTTAGTTCGACAATGCTTTGTGAAACCATTGCCAGGTAGTTACTGGCGGTCAAAATCTCATGTTACCCAATTTATTCCGACTGATCAGTTTTTCTTGACCTTTAACAGTCACAGTTAACCCAGTTAAAACTAGTTTTTACATATCATAAGCCCGACATAAGAACAACTTAAAACAGAAACATTAGGCCGTAATTATCTCAAAACTATTCCAGTCATATACAAAATCTAATTTCTACAATACTGTTTTCATACAGAAATAATTTCATGTACATGTAAATAGATAGAAAATTGTTTAATTGAAGCTAATAATTTAATATATAGATAATTAATAATAAAAGCAATAAAGCACTAATTATAAGAAAGCTATAATTAAGTTTAAAGTTTGAAGTAAATAAAGCTTTAAGCAGTTAAAGATGTCTCTAGGAAAGCCAGAATCTTGAAGACTTGGGTTTAGTAGCGTTGCCAAGTTCTAGTTGTTTGGGTGGATCTGTAAAAAAAAAGAGAGAAAAAGGCTGAGAGAGACAGAAAATAGTAAAAGCATAAATAGCTCTATTTCCAAACAAAAACCCAATTTGCTCAAATGATTTTTCTTTTCTTTACTTAAAATAGGAAAAGAAATTTATTGCATTTTTTTGCAAAATGATATAGTAATTGGATCTTGAAGGTTAATTTATACATTTTGTACCCAATACAAAAATTTACAAGTCAATGTGCTATTAAAAAACTTGCGACTAGATCTTTTTGGTATGATTTCTAATAAAGCATTATTTTTTTTAGCTAAAATAGATCCTGGTTCTAAAATTGCAATATTGCTTGTTGAAGAATTTTGTCCACATAAATTTTTGTATACAGCCATCAATGATCATTGAGCAGAAGACCATTTGCTTGAAAATTCTCAAAAAAAGGCTGAATAAAAGAATTTTGGATCAAAATAAAAGTTATGTGAAAATTTTACAAGTTCCAAAGGATTAACACTCTTCTAGTGTCCTTATGACAAGGTTAATGTGGGGATCTAGCTCTGTGCATAGAATAGCCTAGAATATCCACAACCACGGGAAACAGGTCACCAATAGGCGATTATCATTATATGGGGCCCAGCATGTTCCTGCGAGTTTTACAACATCTGGCCGTTGCTAGATTACTTTACAATTCTCGAACTTATAGCTATATCATCTACAGACACGTGAACAGTAGCGCCCAATCAGAGGTTGTGACATAGCGACCTCCACGGAAACCATGACATTGAACGAACCTTTAACTTTGCAACTCGATTATCACATATAGACATTTTAGCTGGAAAGCGCGAGACTTGGTATTCACGACAATCAAGGACTTTGATAGGCTCACAATCTGGGCTTGTACCCAATCAAAATTAGTGCCGAAATATGCAGGGTATTACGCGAAGGCCTTGATATGATGTACGTAGTTAAAGCGAGATCAAGCCTGCTATGGGTTCAATTTCAATATTAAAATAGCTACAGTAGAAATACACTCATTAAACTGGTGTCCATAGTGACCAGTAACTAAAAGTATTAAAGAAGTTCTACTGCATGTGAGTTATAGCTTTTGTGCCATTAATATAAGCACTCTATCAAATTAAAAGCTGTTAGTAGCAAGAAAACAAAATGATACATCAAAGCAGAGAGAACAGTCAGAAAGAAGTACATGTACATGCAAACTGAATAAATTGACCATTTCATGGTATCCGATCATTCAGTGGAATGATCTAGAGATAGCCATCACCATGGTTAACAACTTTTTCAGTTACGTCACATCATAACATGATGTTAAAAGAGCTAAACCTCTAACTCAATGTTTTCCATAATATTCAAAATTAAAAACATGAATTAGAATTTAACATTTGATCATTTCAATCAATATGAATGTTGTTATCTTGCCATGAAAATATGGGATCCTAAACATTCAATATTTAAGACACATGAACATTTTATAATCAATACACAAGTCCTTTATTCTATGGTTTCGGGTACCATTTGCAATTGACACAGAAAAACATATCCTACAAAACAACAACTGATTAGAAATTACAATATTTGTGTTTTAAAAATTGAATATAAATGACTTTACATACATTAATATTACATACTTATGTGCTTTTAGACTACTTAAGGATTTAAAGAATAGTGCTGTATGTATGTGCTTACATTATTTTAATGCATATTAACCATGGTTCTTGTTTCCATTTTATTTACCAGCCTTGACTGACTGGAAGTGAAAATAACCAGCTGGAGAATTTACCTCTCAGTCTATTTACATACTATCAAACAAGATATTTAAAAAAAATAACCTAAATACACAATAAATAAAGTTAAATGTGTAAAATACTCAAATCTTGATTTAAGAATGGAGATAATACAAAAACTTGTCATACTCTTTTTAATAAGATATATACCTGACTGATCTCAGATAAACAAAATACACAGGCTGGTAACATTTTGAAGTTACTAATAATATTCCTAACTTTAATATTAATTTTATGCTATAATTTATCAAAATCTTCAGACAAGTGTCCTTTTGGAACAGGAATTGGTCCCCAAGCGCTAGCATTCTTCTTGTTTTTGCTCTGCTAATTCAAGTACAATTGATATGAAACTTTGATGCTTGTTCCATGCATTTTTGATATGACGTCAGAATTTCAACGGTGTCATCAACATTCCCTGGTCCATATAATGCCTATTGTCTTATTTTATTTTAGTGAACATTTTATGTCAATTTTTTTGTAGAATAACTGATGCTAAATCTGTTAAAGTGCCAACATTTGGCTCCATCCCAGTCATATTCTTAAAATAGTTCGCACAACTGTAGTTATTCAATTATATCATATTTCAAACATTTGCCTACTGTCATGGGAAAAGACAATTATCAATAGCAACAGACTATAAGCATTTTACTCTACAATTAAAGGGTACAGACGTACAGTGAGGGTGAGTGTGGCTGCTTCTGTGCTAAATCATAAATTCAAGCTATCTTATGGCTGACCTCCAGATCCATTAACTTGATTTGGTAATACTTTTATTATTTATGACTTACAATGGCTGTGTATTTGATGTGTCTGTGGGTTGTTGTCTGGGTTTCTATTTAGTTACTATGCGTGGTGCAGTTCCCATGCCCTTCCTAAGTTCCTATTACTATTTATAAAGTTTGATAATTAATACAAATAGCACTACAAGACATACAGCAGGTGTTCCTCATTCAATTAACATTAAATATAATTACACAAACATCAACATAGCAGATAAACCTTTCTCATGTACACCTTAAAGAAACATATCAGTTTCACCAAGAAAATAAAATTAATTACAGGTGTATATATATCCAAAATAACCATCAATACACCTTATTATTGACAAATCTAAACATGATCCATGTACAGTTTAAAGTCATTGATCTTCATTTGAGAATTCAAATTCTTTGACACTACATTGTGGAAGTTGGATGCCTAAAACGAATGTAAGTTCCAAAGATATGATGAATGGAAAGTATTGCAATATATGCAAACCAAACGGCCAAAGATAACTTTGGTTACAGCAGAGTCCCTAAACAGAATTTTGACTGAAAATGGCCTTAATTCAGTAAAAAAAAAAAACAGCAATGGAATCCCAAGAAATGTAAATTTGATCTGTAACTTTGCTATATACAGCTGTGTAAGCCTACTTCATTTTAATAAACTACAAAAAATAATTCTGGAAAACAAAACTGACCGACAGATGGACAGAAACAAAACCTTTGGTTTCATTTTCAAACTAATCCTATACTTCGCTAATTCAAAAGATTGGTCTTGTTGCATACAAGCTTGGGATAAAAGGACAGATATTATGATCTAAAATGCACACATTAGACCACTACCCAACTCCCCATAACATATATGGGAAGATTTGCTTCACATTTTACATTAAATCTAAATTAAACATCTCTGACATAAACAGATAATCATGTTAGACAGAAAATGATATTTTACCTACTGGTTCGAAGATGTCAAAAGAGCTAGTACCTCTTTAAATATTAATCAGTACCACATTAGTGCATAATATGGCCTAGGGTTACCTCACGAACACAATTATCTTACAGGTAGTTTTTAATTAAGAAAATTTGGGTTTAGCATCAACTTTTGGAATTACCATAATATACATTAACTTTATGTCATGAACACAATTATTCTACAGGTAGTTTAATTAAGAAGGCTGGGGTTTAGCATCCATTTTTGGAATTATCATATACCTGTAGGGAACTTTAGCAGTGTGAGGAAAAAGTAGACAGAGAGGAAACCAATAAGATTAAGCAAAAAAAGCTTTTGCCCGTCACATACCCATCACTTGACTGTGGGATCTAAAGCATTATAGACCACTCTCCCTCTCTCAATCCTACCACACCCCAATTTTAAGTATTAAGATAACATAATTTTAAAAAAGTAACAAATTATGAGAGAGAGGTCATTTCCGGACTAACATATGGTTCAATTTTATTTCAATAATTTGTGTGCGTGTAGGGGTCTTTTACAGTGGGAGGAAGCTGGAGGACCTGGAGAAAACCCATGATGTTGGGCAAGCGACCCTACTCCATGTCACATACCAACTGGGGAATCAAAACTACATCAGTTGACTCAATGACAGACCTTATGACACAGCGTGCATGTGCTAACCATTCGGCCATCCAACCCCCCAAATTATAATGAACTAAGAAACCTAAGTTGTTTAGGGATCGTGACAAATATTTATTTCAATGGTCCTATAATATAATATCTCAGTTAGCTTGATAAGGTCTAATAAGAAACAGCAGTTTCTGTGTCTCCAGGGATGTACTGGTATTAATATATCACTTTTCTTTATTTTTCTTCAAGGAACTGGAGTAGTCAATATTTACATGTACTAAGTTCTAACCTCAGGTAAAAACAACAGGTGAGAATTAATCAAACCATAAATCAGGTTTGGTGTCAATCTATAAACTGTCAATCTAGATCCGTTTCATTATCTACTTTATATATAGCCTTGTTGTTTTATATTATTTGGAATACATGCACAGACATTTACTATCTTGTAGCCCTCTTCTACACATAGATAACTTGATGGTGAGGTAAGGTAAGGAGAGATAACCCACGTACAAATGTTGGATCGACACCACGCCACTCAATGACATACATTATCTACAGCGCATGCATTAGACCACTTAACCCCTCCCCCAACCTAGATAGGGTGGTATATAGATAGAAGAATAGAACTGACTAGTGATATTTTCAAATATCCGTAATATAACCGGATTGTTTGAAATAATAGGACATTGAAATAATGGACTTTCAAACACTATAAAGTTGATATCTTTCACTATGAAGAAATAGCTTTACAAATGAAAATGTACGACAAACAGATCTATGACGTCATTTTATATATACTATTCAAAAAAAGTAGGGGATATTTGATTTTGGGGGCATAATACTAAAATATGCAAATGACTACGAAAAAAGTCACTATA